CCCCTGTCCATGCCTTGGTCCCTCTCAGGGGTTCACGTGTCAAGCTCGCGAATGTTCTGCCTAACTCCTGCCGTTCTTAGCAAGTTGTGCGTCCAAGTCGTCTGTCTCTTTCATGTTTTCCTTGCTCTTGGTTGTCCATGAAACCTTTCCACTTGTAGAGCCGCGCCCTTTCCCCTTGCCTGGGTGGTAAAACATCGTTCTGTGAAGCAATTTAGGGTCTCGGCATCACAAATACAAAGGGGCCTTGATTTGTTGCTAACCCTTTATTCCCGGACACTACCTTCCTCTGGGTATACTGGTCAGACCAGCACAGAATGTAAGGGGACTGAACCGGGTTGAGGAAAGTCTCAAGCAGAGAGATGACGGCACCCAATATGCCGTCAACAATAACCACCACCGCCACCACATCAACAGCAACACTGCTCTTGCCACGATAAAGTATTAGTCTCTCCATCCGACTTTCGAAAATACACCGACTTCCGGTCGACACACACAAACTCTGTCGTCCAACTCCTGCGCCTCCCCTGTCGGTAAAACCCAACCCCTTGCTTAGAAAGTGTTTGTGTTTTTTTTTCCCGCTGCAAGACGGACGTATTTTCATTTGTCAGCCGGTTAGCGCGGTCGATGCTAGTTATGAAAGCATCCACCCACGCCCACGGCCAATCAGGTAGCCGCGAGAGAGAACCTGGTGTCGTCGGTCCAAGCGTCCGCGAGGGAGGCTCTAGGCAGCGGGGCGACGGCTCGGGCGTACGGCAGCTACGGGGGAGCGGGCGATGGTGAGGGGCCTAAGGCCACTTGTTACGCTGTCTCTTTTTGGGCTGTCCCTTTTCTCAAAAAGGGACAAAGTTGCCCAAAAAGGGACAGGATGGGGTGATCTTTTTTCGCTGTCCCTTTTCGGGAGGTTCAAAAACGCAAAAAAAGACCACGTAACAAGTGGTTTTTGGTCAGTTGTCCCTTTTTGAGAAAAGGGACAGCCCAAAAAGAGACAGCGTAACAAGTGGCCTAAGGTTCCTCTGGTGGACTCCGCGGCCGTGCCGCATTTGCAGTTTTCCCCGCCAAACCCGTTGTGTTTCCATGGTCCAATTGCATGGGTGTGATTTCTCTTCCTGAGTTCGTTCATTGTTGTTAGCTTGTCGGAACGCGGCGATTTTTGTGTAGCGTACTACTGTACCCGTGGTAGTAGAGGCCGCGCCGGCAAAGTAGTCGTTGTCGGTCGAAGCGCGCCATCCGCACGAGTGGGCTAGAAAGGTCCAGGGGCCGAAGCCCGCTGTTCAACCGGCTGTTGGAGTCTCAATCAGCACGCTCACTACTCACAAGCTTCGCGCTTTGTACAACGCCGTCCGAGTCGGCGAGATTTCGATGTGCTCACGTTATGGAGATTCGCGGGCATGGAGAAGTTAACGTCATAAACGACAAGGCAGCCGCAACCACCGCTGCACTCGCCGATGAGACCCCCCTGCCAACCCCCCGCCATCGCGAAACCACGGACGTTTTTGTCAGAGCTTTGTTTCTCCATTTTCCTCTCGGACGTGGATATCAGCGTGAGGCCTCCCGCCGATTCAAGCACTGTTCCTCCGCCTCAGGTACCTGTGATAATGTCGTGACCGTTGTTGTTGTGTGTTCATCTCCCTTTTTTCTGGCTGGGCACAACCGGGATGCACAGACGCAGACGTTTTGTTGTCTCCCGTTTTTCTGGACATGCGTTCTTTCGAAGTGCCATGCGGTCTCCCTTGTGCAGAATACTCGCGGCAAGCTTCAAAGTGGGTAATGTTGTTACTCGGCAAGACCGAGAATTATTACTCGGGTGCTTGGTGATTTTCGAGGGTAAAACGCTTAACAGAATTTTTTGGCGTTGAGCATGGTTGGACTCGTGACGGGGCAGCTCGCATGATGTCGGCATGAGCACCAAGGCGGTGTTCGATTTTAAAGCTGATGGGGAGGTAGGTTTGGAGAATAGAGCAACAACGGCGGCCACAACGATGACAGCAGTAGTAATAATTAATGCATCGTGTTGGACGACAGTTTGCTGGAAATGTTGAGTCCTCTAGCTTGAGCAGGTCTTCTGTGATGAGAAATGTTTTGTGAACATGCTGCGGGAATACTTCCTTTGCGGGGCGTTCCAGGTAAGAGGGCGTTTCCAAAGGGGATAACGGTACTGAAACTCAGATACACGACACGACACGCTTGGAGAACGAAAAATCGCGGCCGGGGTGTGGCAATCTATGCTGCTTCTCTTCGACCCGCTCTTAATTACACACGTTGACTTTTCGGTACTTCGGGCATCTCGAGCTGTCCCTTTGTTGTGCTATTGTGTAGTACCCTGGCTGCCCCATTTCAGCCTTGTCCGTTTCGAGGTTGACGATTCCCTCGCCGTTCGGCAGTCGTTCTGCTGGGGCGCCAACAGCGGTGTACGTTGATCTATTTGACGAGTGCTCTCGCTTGTCTTCGAGCCTCTTGCTGACCCTTCTTCCAACCCGCCCACCTCGATGGGTCGCCAGGGCAGATGCAAGGCGCCTGCAAGGAGCACGCTGGGAAGTTTCCTAGACCTTACGAGGGGATCGGACGACGGCTTCGAGGAAGGGTCGTCTTCGTCAGATTCGTCGTCGTCGTCTTCCGGTTCCGATTCCGATTCCGATTCAGCAAGCGACGGCGACAGAGCGGGGAGCAACTCGAAGCCATCCCCAGGCCCGCAATCAGCGGCGGCTTCAGATGCGGCGTCGGCAATCTACGTGGCCTCGTCGGGATCTGAATCAGACCGCCCCGAGGAATCTCCCTCCCCTAATCGCCCACAACAAGGAGGAAGACGTCCCGCAGGGCAGCCAGGCCGTTTTCCGGAGGACCAGGCACGAGGAGGAACCACCACCGGCCCTTCTTCGGGGTGCAACCCCGCTGATACGGCGGTGCCCCAGTCTGATCAATCGACCACGAAGTCGGTGACCTCGGCTTGCAAAGCGGGCGACGATCGTGGAGGTTTCAGCGTAAAAAGCAGTAGCGCACCGGGAGCGGAGGCGTTTGGGTTTTACATCGACAGCCGGCCGGACCCGGCGTTGCAGAAGCTCGCCCTTCGGGAGAGAGAGCGCGCCGCAGAAGGTGAAGCCCCTTGTCCCTCTGATGGTCTCGGCACGGAGGAATGCGGGGACTTCGGACGCCAACCGGTGGGCCCGCCATCAGCGGCAAAGGCGGCAGGAGCGGCGGAAGCCGACACGGCTGTAGGGGCGCTTTCGGCCCGGGGCCTTGCCAAGAATTTGCCATCCACAAACCCCTCCACCACTGAGGCGAAGCCAGCCGAGGCTGCTTCTGCACGTGCTGGTGAGGAGGTTGCCTCGTCTTCGAAACGTTCTTGTGCGGGTGAAGCTGGTGCTCGTGCTGCTAGTGAGGTTGCCCCGTCTCTAAATCCGTCTGCCGGTGCTGGTGCTGAGGTTAGCGCGTCTATCGAACGTGGTATTGGGGGTGGTGGTGCTGCTGAGGTTGCCTCGTCTTCGAATCCTTCTGCTGCTGCCGGTGCTGAGTTTGCTTTGACTTCGAAACCTTTCGGTGCTGCTGGTGGCGGTTACTTCCCTATTGCTAACGCGGATCTCGGGGCAGGAGCTGCTGCTGTTGGAGAACGCAATACCATGGATATACGAGACATCGGAGAGACCACCGCACAAGCGAGCAGCACCGACCCCGGCGACCCAGCAGCACCCATGCCGGCCGTCGTTCCCGGCGCCGTTCTGAAGACCAATGATGAAACCACTACTCCGGGACCATCCAACACGAGCTCTAGCTCAGTGTCTCCCACGCGGCAAGAAAAAGGACTCTTCCTTTCTCCGTCCCCTCGACCGCCGGAGAGCCGCCTTGCAAGCGAGGACGATGTCGGGAGCGGTGGCGGTAAGAGAGGCTTGTTAGAGGCGGGTGAGAGCCAGGGTAGCCGCGTGACCGAAGAGGTGGAAGGCGGGCGGAATCGAGCGGTGTTGAGCCCTGACGGAGGCAGTCGGTCGGGCAAAGGGAAGAAGAAGGTGGAGGGAGAGCACGGGCGGGAGGGGAAAGAAGGAGAGGAAGGGAAAGAGGAGGAAGTCGAAGAGGAAGAGGGGGACGAGGAAGTGGGAAAGAAGGAATTGGAAGAGGAAGAAGAGGAAAATGAAAGCGGCAGTCGTGCGGGGAACATGCCTCCAACACGTCACGTAGGCGATGGCGAGCGGCCCGCCGCAAAGGTTGCATCTGCCTCGTCAGCTGATTCTGCGGTTGTTGACGCCGCCACCAGCGCGATCGTCAGCGATAGCGAGGTGGCCAGTGCGGCGGTGCAGCTGGTCGCCGACCGCATCCGCGCCGAAAGCGAACGCACGGTGCGGTTGAGGGCAATCGCGGCCAGCCTAGCTGCTGAGCTCTGGCATACCGGAGAGAGCGGAACTAGCAGCGGCGGGGCAATCGGTCCCAGAAATCCTGTGCAGGCCGTAGCAGCGGTAGGGCAAGGCAACCAAGAAGACGAAGACGGAGACGGCGACGGGGTTCCCAAAGATCCCGAGGAGGCCAGGTACTCGGAGGGGCCGATGGCGCTTGTGCGGGAGCAAGAGAAGAGGAACCGAGGCGGGAGTCTTCCGGTGGCGTTCGTAAGCAACCCCGGAGGGGGAGGAGGACCGACCGCGTCCCAAAATTCGCGCGAATCTTTGCGGGCTGCTAAGCTACAGGTATGTATTTTTGGCGGGGGGCGGGGGCGGGGGAGGGGGTCGCTTGCGTCAGGATCGCAATCGATTGACGCTCGCGCGATCACCCCGGTTCCAGCGTTTCGGAAAGCTCAAGGAGTGCACCATGGCGGCTGGCTGACACCCGCAACCGGCCGGCGCGGACCTATTCCGCCGTGTCCTTGCCTAGCTAAACGATGGGCACTCAAAGCTCGCCTGCGTGTGGCAGTCCGAAGGAAACCAGTCACCGCCGACAGGGGTCATTGCCGTCTCTTATCGTCGTGAGTTTTGCCATATGGTCCCTTTGCGGGACTCAACCTGTGTGCACCGTGCCGTACACACCCTTCACCTGAATCTTGTGTATTCCCTGCAGAGCCCCCCTCACTTGAAACTATGATGTGTGTGGACTGAAACAACTGAGAACTACTGCTAGGTCGACTCGATGAAGTAACGTGTACTCTTCCGAGGGGATTGTTTCTTCCGTACTCTTTCCGTCGAACGCATACAAAAACTCGAACTCCTTTGCTTCTGTTTGTGACCCCAGGCAGCACTGACCGCGTCCGCCGAAGCCGCTGCCAAGCGCAGGCGGTCGGGAATCGCCGTCCCGCCGGAGGGAGTTCTAAAGATCCACGCGCGTCCGGGGCTGGCCGGTAAACGCGGCGGGTGGGGCTCAGGGAGAGCGCCTTGGCGCGGAGGGAGGGCCGGCGGCAAGGCTCGGGCGGTCTCCGGTCTCCGGAAGCTAGGCGAGTCTTCTTTTTGTTTAGTCTCTCGTCCTCCCAATCGCTCCGGGTCTCTTTTTTCTTCTGAGGATCGTGTACGCCGCGCTGGTAGTGCTGCCGATTTTTTTGGGAAAAGCTGTTTCATTAACGTTGTTCGAGAGACACGGAAGGGGCGTGTGTCTCGAAAGATTGTGCTGGCTATCGATGGGTTTTCGACTCTGTGGCTGCTGGTGCTGGCGGGGAGCGTCTTACTATACTTCGTATGCGCTAGGTTTTGTGGGAGAGGGGTATTGGTGAGGCGTGTGCACGCAGTAGGCGAGATGAGGGAGCTACCCAAGGTCTTGCTTGCATGGATGTTTGTGCGACGCCACCTTAAGAGTGGATCAGGACACTCTATGCCCCGGTTGCGCGATTTGCGCAGTATATGGTGCCACGTTGTCCAACTTGATGATTGGAAAGCCCGTGCGGCAACATTCACTCATGTTCACAACCTCAAGTTGGAGTGTATTTACGTGAGGAGGTTCTGGAAGGTGATCATGGTGCAGGCCTGTCCGCGTATGATGTATCACGGTCGTCCAACGTGTCGGTGTACACACACGTAATTTGTTGGTTTGTCGTGCAAACATATCGAGCGTACAACAACAGCAGTACTATTGGTGTTTGTGTGTCTTTGACGACGGGCATATCTTGCTTTCTTGTTTTTGTCCTCAGGCAAGCACCTGCTCAAGAAGCGCTGGGTGGAGAAGTTCGAGTTCAGAAGCCGCGCCAAGGTGGGGAATTCGCAAACGTACTCAAGAACAGCACAAATATACCTTTCGCCGGCCACGTGAAAAGATTGAAGCCCCGCGAGCTTCATTGCGTAGCAGCTTGGAGGGGGTGGCAAAGTAAGGGTGCAGCAGGACGGGGTCCGCCCCAGGAAGTTCTGTTTCGATACGTTCCCCCGTGGGGCGGGGGGAACGGGCAGCCGATAACTTCGCGGTTGTGACGATACACCACCCCGAGCTGAGATGGCCTCGTTTACGATGTAAAATGGTCGGGAAAAAATTGAGGGGAGGGGGATTTCTCCCTGTTGCGCGTTGGTACTTTTTGAACATGTGATTCCGTCGGCTACAACTCCGCTGCCCAAAATGGTGAACAAGAAACGCGCCCATAGGCCGCCACGAAAATATGTTGTGCCCGTACGCACCATGTGCCATCTATCCGTTGCGTTCTTCTAGTACCGTCACCATTAGCGGGGGCGCGCATGGCTGTTTCTCAGGAGCGCGATGCCTTTCGGCTTCTCTGCGAGAGGACGGCGGTGGGTTTTTTTCCCCCTGTGTCGCGATTTTGCCCCATGGGCCCGATACTATTACGTAGACGAGATCTCGCCACCACGTCCCTACCCAACCTCCCTCTGACACCGTGCTGCCTGATAGCCATGGCCATGATATTTCCTAGCGCTGACTGTTGAAGAAAAGTACCAAGCTTCTCGCGCATCGGGACTGATTTCATGAGCACGTGCAATGGTTCGCTCGCTTTCTGTGTGTCGTTGCCGGTCTCTTAGACAAACGTGTCCCGCATTTCCTGAATACTCTTTCGTCCATGCGCCTTCTCGATGGGTGTGCTTCGAAGGTTCCGATTATCGCCATGCTGGATGCGAGAGGGGGTGTTGATTGCGACGTGAGCTGGGCTGGGGACGGGGGAGGGGGTGACTGCTGGGAAGACCCCACCGAAGCGCCCGGTCCGGCGTACTTCGCCAAGATGTTTCCGGGAACTTTCCGCCCCCTGGCTTTGATCCTCAAGGTTAGGCCCAACGTTTGTCGCCGGCGGTGCCGACTATATAATAGGTCGTTTATGTCACTGGTTTTCGTCTAGAGCGGTGGTTGCGTGGGTGTTGCCGCCGGCAGAGCGATGGACGTGTCCAGAAGCCTGACTCTTTTGTGACGTTTGGACGACCGCGCCAGCGAGGCCAGTACTCGAGTTAGGCACTTGCAGAGCACTCGGCGAGCGTCGAGTTGTTTGTCGTCCTTCCCGCGTAATTCGCACTCCACCCCGTCTGCTGCTGCTGGTGGCGCTGTTCTTCTCGCACCCTGCTGCTGTTGATGGTGGTCTCCTTCTTGCACCGGTGGTCGACACAGCAAATCAAGGGAAGGAGGCGCAAGGCCTCTTTCTCGTTGAACGGAACTTGCGTTTACTTGCTTTTCTGGGGAAGCCTTGCGTGTGTCTGCGACCTTTGAAGAAGTCTTTGTTTCGTCCAAACCATGTGTTTTCGTCCTATTCATGATGGCGACAGTCCCCCCCATTTTTCGTGGTGAGACGTGTACCACACTTTTCAGCGTATGTAGGGTACTACACCTTTCAGTGTATTTTTGCGTACAACCTCAACCATCCAGAGTCACACAGGAGGGGTTAAACACCAGGGCGTTTTGTTTTTCTTTTTATTGCTTTTCATGCCCCACCTTCCTCCTGCGGTGTGTGCTGAATTTTATTTCTATCGCGAGGAGGGTCCAGCCGTCCCTTTCCCTCGTCAACGGTGCTAACGTCGAAGTTTGGTACTCACGTAGCTTGTCAGCTATATTTCCCTTTCACCCGCAACATTTCGTAAGTTATTCACCCCATAGGGATTCGAACTCACGACCTCTGCGACTAGCGGATTACGAGGATACCACTATACCACCACGGCGACCGGCTAAACCATACGATTGTTTGTGTCAGGAGCATTCTAGAATGGTATCGTTTCGCTTCTCCCCTATTGCTCTTGCTGCTCTCATGCCCTTGCATCATCGTTGAGAGCTCTCGATGAACACAGACGCCCTTCCTAGCTTCGAGATAGCCACGAGCTCGTGCCGTGGAAAACTCTGCCTCGTCGTTATGACCATGTTCTTGCCTTCTTTCTCCCCCTTTTGGATCACATGTTGTCCTTTTTCGGCCAAGGTTTTCATGCGCCAGAGAGGCCTAGACAAGCCCTTCACCGGAGGGGTTGGGTCGTTCAAGCTTTACGCTCTCATCGCGTCACACCTTCAGGCTTGTGGCTGCGGGAGGTACGACGTACACTCAGGCAAAGCAAGGAAAAGTACAGGGAACGTTCTTACCGAAAACAAGTGCTTTTGTTTGCCGTCCATTCTCCGCTTTGTTGTGATGCTTTTTTTTATTGGATTCGCGGCGTCTCTCCCGTCCCCCGTGCGTTTGGTGCGGCAGGGCGCAGCAGCAGCCACGCGACCTGGGACAGCTCCTCTTGGGCTTCTTCCGTCGCTACTCGTACACCTCGAAGGAAAGGCTCGCGCCAACGACTGTCCTGCGTGTCAAGGATCTTACTGTGAGATCACATGCGACCCCCGTGCCGAGATGGTGGTGGTTGTGGTGGTGCTGCGTATGCATGCGTGCATCGGAAATTTTGTTTCTGATTCATCGCGATGCCATGTAACACCACTCACATGGCTCGCGATGATACCGCGTACATTAGAGGTCCCTGTTTAGTGCCGGCTGACTAGTACCGGTTGCCGGTATAGTGCCGGTCAAATCTCGGCGCACAGAACCCGCCCTGAATAGTGCCAAACCGGCACTTTTCAGGGCTGCCCAATATAGTGCCGGTTCGGGCCCCGCTGAACCCCACAATAGTGCCGGTTCAAGCACGCACGCACACACAACACACAAGACACACACACAACACAGAAGACAGACACAGAGGAGAGGGTACACGTGCTGCTGCAGACAGGGCAGGAACCACCCCTATCGTGGCACAGCAGTGTGCCCGCGACGCCCATGCCATGATCTCACCATGTACGTCATGTGGTACTCTGTTGGCCCCGCAAAGCAAAGCGATGCACTCTGAATTCACACAGTTCGTCAATAGTGCCGGTGTGGCACTGTTGAGGGATTTTCAGACCCTGAATAGCCCCTGTGGCACTATTCAGGCACCCTGAAGAAAAGTGCCGGTGTCCGGTATAGTGCCGGTGAAATTTTTGCGCATACCCCGGCACTAAACAGGGACCTCTACCGTATGACTTCTTGTTTTGTGTGCATCGCGATGTCGTAGCTCTTGGATGTTTCGCCGTGAGAGCGTACATAGTTCGCATTTCTTGGTTGGCGGTGATGCCAATAGTTGTGGCTATTTCATGTTCCTTCACGACACGTATTTTCGTCTCCTGTCATTGTAGCCTCTCCCGATTTTCGAGTTTGGGAGGGCAACTCTCGTGAAGCTACCGACAAGGCCCTATGCTGAGAGGCGTTTTCCAGAGCGAGGCAGAGATGCGTGGTTCCACCTTGGATCTCTAGTGTCTCCTTGATTTTGGTGTGAACATGCTGACGTTAGTCCAACGCGTCACCCTCTTTCTCTGGAAAAAACCAACTTCCTCTACGCGCCCAGCACCACCCGTCTCCCCTCTCGGGCTTGCTTCGTTGAATCAGGTTGATCTCGGTTCAGCCTACAGAGCCATGGCAGCTTCGAAAGACTTTGCCAGGGCGGCTCAAGCGCTGTCTTTAGCCATCGCCGAAGAGGCTAGCAGCTCCAAGAACGGAGGTCTGAGCGCTGAAGGCAAAGGCACTGCCACCTGCCGCAACCGTAACCCCAAGAGGCCCAAAATGAACCATTCCGATAGCAAAACCGCGAACCTGACGCCGCCGGCGCAAGCCGCTGTGCCCGTCGAAGGAACAGGAGGCGGAGGAACAACAGAAGGAAATGAAGCTGCCCGTGACGCACAACAGTCGACGTCGGTTACCACGGGTTTAGGCCGCTCGAAACGTTTCACGTCCATGGCGGCAACCGGTGTTGGTCTCCACGATGATGGTAGGTTTGTTCTTGATGACGATCGTCGACATGTCGGTTTGTCTGGAAGCCTGTCCAGCAACAACTGGCCCCTCGGAGGCTTCGCATCGGCCGCAGGTGTCGGTGATGGAGGAGAAACGAGTGGCTGCGGCGGTGCCCATGGGAACGCTGATCTAGACTACGATCAACCCAGAGACGGAGAGGTTGACGCCAGCGGAAGCCGACAGCACGGTCAACCCTCCTTCAGAGACGGGGCATCCGAGGACGGGAGCATCAGAGGGAGCGACCATCATCGAGACGGCACCAAAGACCGTTCAGAATCACAACTTCGAAATGGCAGCTCTGAACCACGCTCCGAATCGCAGCATGAGCAAGTGGAGCACGCCGCTCAGTTTATTAGACGCCGATCGATCCTGGGAAGGGTCATCTGGGGGTCGGACCTTCGCCGCGAGAGGGAAAGCAGGCTTGTTGCTGTAGGCAGCGCGAAGGCGTCTCCACGTCCCGCAGGTGAGCTTTGTTGCACCATTCCGATCAGCGTTAGTTGCTGCTGCTGCTGCTGCTGCTTTGTTTGTTCTCGTTGTTTGTCTTCGTTGATAGTGTTGACATCACGCCTTAGAGTTAACTAGGTCTGGCTCCTGGGATCTATCTTCTCTATACCATCCTGATTTGCGAAGCATTCGTTCAGTCAAACAACTAACTACGTTGCTTTGTACCGCCTATCGTAAGTCCGGCAAGCCAGCCCCTTAACCTTCAGGTTTGTGCTGTGAACCCCAATGGGGATGACCCAGGTACTCTTATGCTGCAAAGAGGTTAGATGTATGTCTTTCGATATCCCCGCTATCTCTGCTCGCCTCTGAATGTTAGCTTAGTTCTTGCCGCCCACCGCACCTTCACATTTTGCTGTATGCACCTCCCTCCCTTCCCGTACATACCTATTCTCTTGTGCCTCTGTCCGCTGGCGATTTCTGATGTCATCATGCAGAATGCATGGATGTAGCTCCAACGAAAGACGTGTCCTACGATACGATCAGGTGGCGCACGTCCGAAAATGAACCTTTACCTTTATTTGGAGGTTCAGGGCGTATCGACCTTGTGCAAAGGCTAACCTCGACATCGCGATCACCCTCCGTTCATCCGCATCATTTTCGCCCGTCGATCGCTCTCTTTTGTTTTGTCAGGCCCCGAACCAAGTTGGCATGTCAAGCTTGAGACGTCTTCACACCCCGGTGGCGAAGGCCAGCCAAACGGACAGCCCCTGGAAACGTGCCCGGGTGCAAAGCCCCGCTGGGGGCACGGGTCTAACAGCGGTGGGCTGTTCGAGGCCAGTTCGGACGCCAAAGGCCGCGGAAGTGGCGGCGGTGGCAGTAGTGGTGGAAGTTCGGTGCAACAACAAAAGCAACAAACCCAAAAGAAAAAGCCCAAGGCGAAGAAGAACGTGGATAAGGTGCAGAAAAAGAAGATGACCATGAAGAAAGCGGCGAAGAAGAACGTGAAGAAGACTGTGAAGAAGACGACAAAGAAGATGAAGGAGGGAAAGAGAGGAAACTCGTCAAATGCCCCGTCGCACAATAGCAGCAATGGAAGCACCAAGAAGAGGAAGAGGGCCTCAAGCGACCAAGCCACACGCGGAAGCACGAAGCAGCAACCGAAGAAAGCAAAGTCGAAGGCAAAGAAGGACGCTGCGACAAGGGGTATTGATTAGGAGAAGGATGGGATTACAGAGAGACTGCTGCGTTCATCACCGCGAGCGTTTGGCCGAAGCGTTACGTCAAGACCCCACAAGGTCAGCGGTGGCCGCAGCTCGTGCATGTTTATAATATGCTTTGCCCGTGTCGGTGTGTCGCTGCAGCCTGTTCGCATGGCCAGTGTCTTTTTATGCGAGCGGTATGTCGTGTGGGCTACGCTGTGTTGATTACGGCATGTTTCTGTTGTTTCGCATGTTGAAGCAATGGTACACTCTGGGTGAGTAGTGCTTTTGCTGTTGGACCGACACGGCCTCTCTATTTCGCCAGCTGTCGAGAATGGCGTCGTCCAGTCTCCGCGCTCAGCTTACGCAGTTAGTTGTGAAGATCAGAGATGCACCAGAACAATATCGAAAGAAAAGTTGGCTGGGACTCATTTGGTCCAAGTTCATGTAACCCTTCCCTAAAACCACTTGAGGTTGGCTTCGATCGACGTCCTCCCGCAGCGAGGGAGTGGGGGGGAAAGCGGGCTTCAGACCAGGCTCGAGCTACCCCTGCGCTACAACTATTATTCCGCTAAATACATGCCGTCGTCAGAAACATCTACGAGGTATTCTATTCGTCAGTATCGTGCCCGTCCTAAACATCGTCAAATTGCCACGTCGACGAATCCAAAGGGTTTTCTCTTATGCGTTCCTGTCCTGTCAATCTCCTTCGTCTACTCAATAATTGCCGTCACGCGTTTGCATACTCCTCTGCATCTCCCTTCAAATTCTTCACAGACAAGAAAAAAAAACACCGAAAAGAAAAACGGCACGGCTATTTGGGACAACACGTCTAACTCGGCGTAGAAAGCTCGGATCGACCTCAAACCAAGTTTGTTGTAATCCTACTGGACACAGCTTTCACGGAATGTATTTTGAGTCCACAACGGAGCCGGGGCCGAGGAGATAGAGCCTAAAAAAGGGGCTTCGTGGCTTCGGTAAATCCTCCATAACAAGGAGCCCCTTTTGACGGCTCTATCTCCTCGGCGCCGGCTCCGTTGTGGACTCAAAATACATTCCGTGAAAGCTGTGTCCAGTAGGATTACAACAAACTTGGTTTGAGGTCGATCCGAGCTTTCTACGCCGAGTTAGACGTGTTGTCCCAAATAGCCGTGCTGAAAGAAAAACAGCCCGGTACAAGACGTCGATGGCGACATATCGGGTCCAGGAGATAGATGTAAAACCAAAAATTGAGCCCATCTCTCCCGTTCGGCACGCGATGCCAACACAAGTGAGTACCAAACAAACGATTTAAAGACACAGAGAAGAAGAAAGGGCATGATTCCGTCCTTGTTCCTCTGCTACGCCGGGGCGTACTCACCGCCGGGGTGACACCGGTCATACCTACAAATACAGGTGTGGAGGGCTAGACTCATGATCACAACTCCGGTCGGTGACACCTGTATACTCTACTCCAGCCCGCAGACAAAGAGGACCTTTATTGTCCCCATCCAGCACCTATGTCACGTTCTCGCCGGCCGGGTTGGTCTGCACCGTACGCAGATGCATCAAAGGGGACACAGAGCAAACAAACCTTCGCGTCGAAAAAAATCGGAAAACGTTACAGAGACCAAAAGAAAACAACACGCCGAGGGGTCAATGAGAGGGAAGGAAGGGTGTTCTGGCCAACAGCTCGTACCCCAATCGACTACGCGCCTNCCGCAAGAAATTCAACGACGAAAAGACGCGCAGACTTTCTGCAACACGGAACAATTCCAACTACCAAAGACATGTCGGGAGATACCCCGAAGATCCACGCCCGTGGAACGGTCACTTGCACACGTTTCGCTCTCAAACCATACATGAGTACTACCGCAGTAGTGTTCGAAAGGATGACATAATCCACCTCACGGACACCCTCCCTGATTCTGTACATCGTCACGAATGCTCGCAAAATCGAGGTATTCAGGGTACTCATAGAAAGGAAAAAATAAACGAAGGGAAACCCGGCCACCGGATCAAAAACCCTCCGCCTCCAAGGTCGTCCTGCTGAATGACATGTCAACACAAAATCAACACAGCAGTCACCAAATTGCAAACCTCCGCGTTTACAAATGATATCAGACATTTGCTACTCCTTATCAAGTAGCCCCCTCCCAGCAACGAGATCCTTCCTGTATCAAGTTGCTGTAAGCGCCGGGGCGCGTCTACAGCCCCAGGCACCAAGGCCAAAAAGCAGCGGAAAAACGAAAAATTTGACGCTACATCGCTTATCACAGCGGAAAAAACGACAAAATCTGACGCTACATCGCTCCCAACTGACTTCTAGAAAAGGGCAGTCTACCAAATCGCAGGGAGAGGTGCCCCCCTCAAAACCTGTACATCAGAGGTAGACCAAGCAGCACTCAACCTCAAACAGTTACATCGCTACGGGAGACACTGGTTATAGACATATTCACCACTCCTTTTCAAGCAGTCCCCTCCCAGCAAGAGGATCCCTACTGTATCAAGTTGCCGCCAGCACCGGGGCTCGTCTACAACCCCGAGCACCGTTGTCGATCCATAACAGAAAAGCGAAAAACCAACGCTACATTGTTCTCAGCGGAAGGACATTTAAGAGGGCAATCAATCACATCGCAGGGAAGGGTGCCCCCCTCGACCTGTGCATCAGTGAAAGATCAAGCAGTATCTCGACCAATAACAGCTCATCAACCCACTTGTTGGTACTGCTACAATGGGAGACACTGGT